GGGAGGGGCAAAGGGATTTTTGCTACTGGTTCTCCGAACCACATGCCGCCATCGCTACTGGATCAGGTGAGCCGGTCCAAACCAGGAGCATTTCACCCCTGAACCCACCCCTGGCGCTGGCCAACTGGTCTTCATGGGTGCCGGAGCACCAGAAAATGACAGTTTTTCAGGCCAAAAACGGCCTGATAAACGGCCAAGAAAAAGGCCGGAATAGGGCCTGGAAAAATGGCCAAAAATGGCCAAAAAACAGGCATGTGCGTGCCGGTTACCTGGTCTTCGGGTTTCCAATGTTCCAGCATGCGCGACCAGTTGACTTGCGCACATCCACAGCCAGATGGTCTTTGGGTTTCTGGCGCTCCCGTGTACACAAATCAAAGGTGGAATTCAGCAGGTTCTGACCAGTTTTGTAGAACCCGTAGCGGAAATTTTGAGTAGTTTGGAGAAGCAGTAAATACCACCTCTGACTGGTCCCGCCCCCATCTATCCTCTGCCTCCCGAGTCCCAGCTGATTGGGAGGAAATGGGAATTCTGCAGTATCCTTCCCCTGGATTATTTATTTATTTTATTTTATTTTATTTTATTTATTTTATTGAATTTATATACCGCCCTACTCCCGAAGGACTCAGGGCGGTGAACAGCCATAGAATAAAATATATAAATACAAAATTTAAAATAAGATAAAATGAATTAAATAATTTGGCTGAACAAATTTAAAACCCCAATAATTTAAAAACCAAATTTAAAATTTCCATTTAAAAAGGGGAAAGACTTAGGTCAGGCCAGCTTCATGAAATAAGAAAGTCTTGAGCGCGTGACGGAAGGTACGCAGATCCGGGATCCTCCGTATCTCCGGGGGGAGCTCGTTCCAGATAGTAGGTGCCCCCACAGAGAAGGATTGGGGTGGGAATGGAGAGTTTACAGTATCCTTCCCCTGCCATGCCCACCAAGCCACGCCCACCAAGCCACACCACGCCCACCAAGCCACACCCACAGAACCGGTAGTAAAAGACATTTTGAAACCCACCACTGGCGCAAATGCACACGCATACAAATGCGTTCCTGTTTGGGCACTTGGTGCTAAAAAGGTTCGCCATCACTGCTTTATACATATACCTCCAGACACCAACATAAAGGTACGCATACAAATTAAAGATATCAATTATCCTATACAATCCAGATTTTTTAAACAGCCCACCCGCTGGGACATTAGGAAGTAAACTTCTTGTTCAGCCACAGAAAGAACAGAACAGAACAGAACAGAACAGAACAGAACAGAACAGAACAGAACAGAACAGAATAGAAAATATGGAATGGAATGGAATTCTTTATTGGCCAAGTGTGATTGGACACACAAAGAATTTGTCTTTGGTGCAAATGCTCTCAGTGTACGTAAAAAGAAAAGATGCATTCGTCAAGAATCATAAGGTACAATACTTAAGAGCCTTGGTAGTACAGTGGTCTAAGGCACCCTGTTATTAAGCTGGTTATTAAGACCAGATGGCTGCAATTACTGCTGGTTCGAATCTCACCAAGGCTCAAGGTTGACTCAGCCTTCCATCCTTTCTAAGGCAGGTAAATTGAGGACCCAGTTTGTGGGGGCAATAAGCTGACTTTGTATAAATATACAAAAGAATGAAGGCTATTGCTTAGCGCATTGTAAGCCACCCTGAGTCTCCGGAGAAGGGCGGCATATAAATCAAATAAATAATAATAATAATGATAGTCACAGAGAACAAATAAACAATCAAATCATATTAGGAAACCGTCAGTATAAATCTTAAGGATACCAGCAACAAGGTTACAGTCATACAGTCATAAGTGGGAGGAGATGGGTGATAGGAACGATGAGAAGATTAATAGTTGTGCAGACTTAGTGAATAGTTTGACAGTTTGATGGAATTATTTGTTTAGCAGAGTGATGGCGTTTGGGAAAAAACTGTCCTTGTGTCTCGTTGTTCTGGTGTGCAGTCCTCTATAGCGTCATTTTGAGGGTAAGAGTTGAAACAATTTATGTCCAAGATGCGAGGGGTCTGTAAATATTTTCCCAGCCCTCTTTTTGACTCGTGCAGTATACAGGTCCTCAGTGGAAGGCAGGTTGGTAGCAAGTGTTTTTTCTGCAGTTTTAATTATCCTCTGTAAATATTTATTTTCTATTCTGGGTCAATACATATTTTCTATTCTGGGTCTGTCTTGTTGGGTTGCAGAACAAAACCAGACAGTTATAGAGGTGCAGATGATGAGTTCTCCCAATTGTTTTATAACTGAGAGAATGAGAATCAACTTTTGTCATTTTAATGTCCTTTACAATAAACGATTTATTATCTTTTCTAATAATGATCACTTTACTATTTCCAGGTAATTAACCAATTGAAAGAACTACTAAAGATTTTTTTTCCTTTCACTGAAAACTGACCATTTCTTATAGTGCAACGAATGATCAGTTAATCGGAGTATTATTCTTATTCCACACCTACGAAATTTGCCCGGGAATCTTCGGTGCTCAACTTCGTCGAAAAGTATTTCTGAGTTCAAATAAGGATTGGATAAATTCGGTAAGCTTGGGTGAGAAAAATCTCGTCTTTACCGAAGCCTGCTGTTGATCCTCATTCAGCAGAATTTTTATCATTTAAAAATAAACGATAAGATAAACCGTCCGTCATTTTCCGCTAGTTCTCCAGAATGCTTTTTTTAAAAAAAACGGGATTATATTGCCATTTTCCAATCCGTGGGTACAAAGGCTGATCTTATGAATGTGTTATATGCTTTTATTGCATACTTTTAAATCTGAAGAATAGCAATTTTATACTTGAGCAATCGCTGAACATTAAGCGTTTTATTTTCCCACGCTGATTATGAGACTTCTAGCTTTGAAACAGTGGGCCTCCTTCCCCAAATATGCTTGCTTTGCTATTGCACAGGTAGATCTTGACTTACAACTACAATTGAGCCCAGTACAGGTAGTCCTTGACTTACAACAGTTCATTTAGTGACCATTCAAAGTTACAACGGTGCTGAGAAAAGTGACTTATGGTTGTTTTTCACACTTATGATCATTGCAGCATTCCCATGATCGTCAAGCAGTCTTTAATTCGAATTGCTATTGCTACAGTTATCTTGTTTCCCAGGTCTATTTACAATATTTCAGCAATGTTTGATTCTATAACCATTCTTGCCTATTTCCTCTCAAAATCTTCTCCCTGGTTCTCACAATCTTTACCATTTTATTTTATTTTTATTTATTGGTTCGATTTATATGCCGCTCTTCTCCGGAGATTCAGGGCAGCTTATAATGCGTTAAGCAATAGCCTTCATACTTTTGTATATACCTGCTTAGTAGGGCTTTGCCCCCCCTCCCAAGCGGTGTTCTTTTTTATACAAAGTCAGCTTATTGCCCCCACAATCCGGGTCCTCATTTTACCTACCTCGGAAGGATGGAAGGCTGAGTCAACCTTGAGCCTGGTGAGATTTAAACTCGCAGTAATTGCAGGCAGCTGGCAGCTAAGTGCTACTTAACAGCGCTTTAGTCCACTGCACCACCAAGGCTCTTTGGTGGTACATTCCTCCATTTCTCCCCTCCCCCCCTTTTTTTTTTGCATTCTAAACTACAGCAAAAAGGCCAATTCCGCATCAGGGATCATTAGGAAAGCAAACGGAAATTTGAAATACTACTCCGATCATTATTTCCTGCAATCGCTTGAACCGGTGATGATTGGGATTCAGATGTGGTTTCTGTGAGGTTGATATCGTGCGGTTGGGAAAAGGGCCAAAAAAACTACACACACACACACACACACACACACACACACACACACACACACACAATGACCGGGATGAGAGTGAGTCTGGAGCACAGGTGTATTGGCCAAGTGTGATTGGACACACAAGGAATTTGTCTTTGGTGCATAAGCTCTCAGTGTACATAAAAAGAAAAGATGCATTCGTCAAGAATCATAAGGTACAACACTTATTTATTTATTTATTTGTTTGATTGATTTATATGCCACCCTTCTCCGGAGACTCAGGGCGGCTTACAATACTTTTAAGCAATAGCCTTCATACTTTTGTATATACCTGCTTAGTAGGGCTTTTGGCCCCCCCTAAGCGGTGTTCTTTTTTATACAAAGTCAGCTTATTGCCCCCACAAACTGGGTCCTCATTTTACCTACCTCGGAAGGATGGAAGGCTGAGTCAACCTTGAGCCTGGTGAGAATTGAACTCGCAGTAATTGCAGGCAGCTGGCAGCTAAATACTACTTTAACAGTAGTTTAGTCCACTGCACCACCAAGGCTTAAAGATAGTCATAGGGTACAAATAAGCAATCCAATCATACTAGGAAACAATCAATATAAATCGTAAGGATACAGCAACAAATGACAGTCATGCAGTCATAAGTGGGAGGAGATGGGTGATAGGAACGACGAGAAGATTAATAGTAATAGTAATGCAGACTTAGTGAATAGTTTGAGAGTGTTGAGGGGATTAGTTGTTTAGCAGAGTGATGGCATTCGGGGGAAAACTGTCCTTGTGTCTAGTTGTTCTGGTGTGCAGTGCTCTATTTTTACTTTAGTATTTTACTTTAGGAAACAGGAAAGTGGAAAAGGGGATCCTTGATTGCGGTTTATATACAATTAGATACGATATAAAGGTTTTGTTTCCTCCTGGTTTAACATCAATGACTCTCGAAGTCCAAACCCAGACTGTTTTGATTATTCCCCGAAGAAAAGCAATCAAAACCAGATTGAAATATGAGTGAGGAGGGAAAGTGGGGGCGGGAGGTGGGGGGAAATCTTATGATCTACATCTGTGTGTATCCTGATGAATATTTGCTTACGTGGACAAAAGCTGAACAGCATGGGAGTTTGAGTGATTTCCCTCTCTCTCTCTCTCTCTCTCTCTCTCTCTCTTAACTACTCCGTGCTGCTATTAATATCACTTTCAGCTTGTGATGCAAGATATACACCCACCCTTTTCTGAGAACCGAGCCCGACGGGGCTGCGATAACTCACAAGCACCACCGAGCTGCCGTGTATAAAAGTGTCTGGAGCTCCGTGTACTTCCTCACTGAGCGGCTACGTTCTCAGATAAGATGAAGCTCGCTTGGGGGGTGTTGCTGCAAGCAGTAGCTCTGCTTTTTGCAAGCAGGTTCGTTCTGTCGGAAGAACACGGAGGAAGGGGAGATGAAGAAAGAGGAGGAGGAGGAGGAGGAGAAGATAAGGTGTCTCCGGCTTGCCCGCTCGCCCTCCAAAGCAGCGGGAAATGCGATGGAGAGGAATGTCCCTACCAGGTGAATTTTCCTCCCCTGACCATCCAGCTGCCCAAGCAGTTCCAACTGATGGAGAAGACCCTCAAGGAAGTGGAGCTCCTCAAGGAAATGGTCAACACTTTGAAGAAATCCTGCCAGGATTGTAAACTCCAGGCAGACGACAACCGAGAGAAGGACAATTCGAACGACTTTCTGCCGGCCGGTCCCGCGAACCAGAGCGTTGTCCAAGACAACCGAGTCACGGACTTGCAGGACAAGGTGACCAAGCTGTCCGAGAACCTGAAGAACGCCAAGAACCAGATCCACACGCTGCACGGCCGGCTGGAGAAAATAAACCTGGTCAACATGAACAACGTGGAAAATTACGTCGACAACAAAGTGGCCAACCTGACGTTTTTCGTGAACAGTTTGGACGTTAAGTGCTCCTCGCAATGTTCAGCCCAGGAACCCAAAGCAGGTAGGTCAACGCCTGAGATTTCTCCATGAATTTGAAGTGTTGACACCTTATTTACGTTGAGAAATTGTTGTTGAACCGAGTTATAAAGAAGCCAGGATTTGGGGGTTGATAGCTACCTTAAGAGTAACGGATGAAAGGTTATAGAATAGAATAGAATAGAATAGAATAGAATAGAATAGAATAGAATAGAATAGAATAGAATAGAATAGAATAGAATAGAATAGAAAATATGGAGTGGAGTGGAGTGGAGTGGAGTGGAGTGGAGTGGAGTGGAATGGAATGGAATGGAATGGAATGGAATAGAATAGAATAGAATAGAATAGAATAGAATAGAATAGAATAGAATAGAATAGAATAGAATAGAATAGAATAGAATAGAATAAGGTTAGGGTTCAACTGAAGAGGGATTGGGTGTGTGTGGGGGGGGGGTCGATGGCGAGATAACCCAGTGACATGAGTAGTGAGATGATAAATCTTAGAAGTTGGGAAGCAGGCCAAGGTGAGAGTTGCTGTCATCGGGACACCATCTGCTTCAGTTCAAGCAGGAGAGCCTATACAATTTGAAACAAGTGGCTGGCCAATCTCTTCTTAAAAGCCTCCAGTGATGAAGCGCCTACAACTTCTGAAGGCGAGCCCATCCACTGGTTAATTGTCCTCACTGTTAGGAAGTTTCTACCTTAATTCCAGGTTGCTTCTCTCCTTGATTAGTTTCAATCCATTAATTCTTGTCTTGCCCTCTTGGAAAATAAGATGACCACCTCCTCTTAATGGCAGCCCCTCAAATACTGGAAGACTGTTATCACGTCACTCTTGGTCCTTCTTTTTCTCTAGACTAGCCATACCCAGTTCCTGCAACCGTTCTTCATATGTTTTTAGTATTTAGCTTCACAGCTCCAGGGGTAACACTCTTCCAATTTGTAGCAGGAAAAGTTAAGGGGACAGTGAATTTAGTTCGGTTTCTCAAGAATAGAATAGAAATAGAATAGAATAGAATAGAATAGAATAGAATAGAATAGAATAGAAACAGAATTGCCACTTTAAACGTACACTAATCAGCATACATTAAAATGAAATCTCATTGCATTCAGCTCTCAAAAGATAACCATTATACATATACCCACGTATACTATGACACAGAGGAACATCACACTCTAGGTCAAACGTATACATATGGTGAAAAAAATCTAATAGAATAGAACAGAACAGAACAGAACAGAACAGAACAGAACAGAACAGAACAGAACAGAATAGAATAGAATAGAATAGAATAGAAAATAGGGAATGGAATGGAATGGAATGGAATGGAATAGAATAGAATAGAATAGAATAGAATAGAATAGAATAGAATAGAATAGAATAGAATAGAATAGAATAGAATAGAATAGAATAGAATAGTTGTTTTATGACTTTTCATGCCCCAGTTGTTAAGGGAATCACTGCCGTTATTAAGTTAGTAACATGATTGTTAAGTGAATCTGGCTTCCCCATTGACTTTGCTTGTTAGAACAGGGGTGTCAAACTCGTGTGATGCATCCGGACCGCGGGCCGCGATTTTGACACGCCTGCGTGAGAAGGTCGCAAAAGGGGATCATAGGACACCTGGACACTGCAACTATCATAAATATGAATCAATTGATAAGCATCTGAATTTTGATCACGTGATCATGGGGATGCTGCAACGGTCGGAACTGTGAAAAACAGTCGTAAATCACTTTTTTTAGTGCCGTCGTAACTTTGAACAGTCACTAAATGAAGCCGAGGGCTACCCGTACTAGCTCAGGGGAGCAGCAGCATCGATCGGCACTTAAGAGTATAGATTTTTCTGTTTATGTGAAAGGATTTAGGACCCAGGGACAAAGCTCCCAATTTTTGTAGACATTTGGATTAACAACTGAGGGAAAAGTACAAAGGCACCATTTATTGCCGACTTCCTCCGGGGGCTTCTAGAAAGAAACATGAGCCTAGGAAAAGCTGGGTGTCTAAAGTTAGCAAACTGACAATGCACTCTATACTCAGCTATCTTAGTCTACATCTTATTAGGTTGGACGAGAGCATCCTTTGCTGTTCACTGAGGGTACCAACGGGAGACCAGTCACAATTTGCCAAGTTAGTTTGCTACCAGCCAGGGCTAAATCAGGTCCAACTAATGCAGAGATCTTCAAACTTGGCAACTTTTAAGACTTGTGGACTTCAACTCCTAGAATAGGAATTAATAGATTTAATAGAGTTAGAAGGGACCTTGTAGGTCATCTAGTCCAACCCCCCGCCCAAGCAGGAGTCTACCCCATATTTCTGACAGATGGCAGTCCAGTCTCTGGAAGCCTCCAGTGATGAAGTCCTTCGGGAGTAGGGCGGTATAAAAATTAAATAAAATGAAAATGAAAATGAAAAAATGAAGCTCCCACAACTTCCAAAGGCAACTTCTGTTCCATAGGTTGATTGTTCTCACTGTCAGAAAATTTATCCTTATTTCTAGGTTGAATCTCTCCTTGTTGTTTCCATCCATTATTCCTTGTCTGGCCTTCGGGTGCTTTGGAAAATAGCTTGAAACCCCCACCCTCCTCTCTGTGGCAGCCCCTCAAATATTGGAAGACTGCTATCATGTCTCCTCTGGTCCTTCTCTTCATTGACTAGCCATGCCCAGTTCTTCATATGTTTTAGTCTCCAGTCCCCTCATCATCCTGGTTGCTCTTCTCTGCACTTTTTCTAGAGTCTCAACATCTGTTTTTACAGCGTGGTGACCAAAACTGAATCCAGCATTCTAAGTGTGGTCTTACTAAGGCTTTATAGAGTGGTATTAGTACTTCACCTGATCTTGATTGTATCCATCTGTTAATGCAATTTAGGAATCCATTGGCCTTTTTGGCTGCCGTTGCACACTCTTGGTTCATATTTAATTGGTTGTCCGCTAAGACTCCAAGATCCCTCTCACAGTTACTGCTATTAAGCCTGGTTTCACCCAGTTACTTTTTTTTTTTTTTTTAATTTGATTTATATGCCGCCCTTCTCCGGAGACTCAGGGCGGCTTAAGCAATAGCCTTCATCCTTTTTTTGTATATTTATACAAAGTCAGCTTATTGCCCCCACAATTGGTTCCTCAATTTACCTACCTTCTTTTGGTTTTTCTTGCCTAAGTGTAAGACTTTACTTTTCTCTACATTGAATTTTAAAAGTTGCCAAGTTTGGAGACCCCTGCCTTACAGTATTAAAGATATTATACTGTCAAGTCAAGAATGTACCTACCAATCCTTTAGCAAACATTATTGGTAATCCTCGTCTTGACTATGCCAAGGGGTCTCCAAACTTGGGAACATGAAGACTTGTGAGAATAAATTAGAACTGGAAGGGACCTTGGAGGTCTTCTAGTCCAGCCCCTTGCTCAAACAGGAGAACCTATACCATTTCAGATAACTGACTATCTAGTCTCTTGTTAAAAACTTCCAGTGGTGGAGCAATCAGGGGTGAAATCCAGCAGGTTCTGGAGAACCGGTAGCAGAAATTTTGAGTAGTTCGGAGAACCGGCAAATACCACCTCTGGCTGGCCCCAGGAGTGGGGTGGGAATGGAGATTTTGCAGTATCCTTCCCCTGGAGTGGGGAGGGAATGGAGATTTTACAGTATCCTTCCCCTGGAGTGGGGTGGGAATGGAGATTTTACAGTATCCTTCTCCTGGAGTGGGGAGGGAATGGAGATTTTGCAATATCCTTCCCCCAGGAGTGGGGTGGGAATGGAGATTTTGCAGTATCCTTCCCTTGCCATGCCCACCAAGCCACACCCATAGAACCGGTAGCAAAAACATTCGGATTTCACCACTGTGGAGCATCCACAATTTCTGGGGACAAGCTGTTCCGCTTGTTAATTGTCCTCACCGTTAGGAAGTTTCTCCTTAATTCCAGGTTGCTTCTCTCCTTGATTAGTTTCCATCCATTGTTTCTTGTCCTGCCCTCTGGTGCTTTGGAGAATAATTTGACCCCTTCTTCTTTGTCGCAGCCCCTCAAATACTGGAATACTGCGATCATGTCACCCCCTAACTTGAACTCCCACAATTATTCAGACATCCAGTTGAAGTCGACAGGTCCACAAGTCTTAAAATGCTTAAAAATGCATTAATGGGTAGAAACAGAAAAATAGGAACTTGGTTTTATTGCAAGGGTAGTTCTCCTGATGATGTTAGTGTTCTCGGGTTGATAATGGAGTCCTTTTATCCCCATAAGGTAGATAGATTTTTCACCTGGAAAAATGTGACAATCCTAGACCAAGCCGAGTCTGAAAACACTTGGTAATTTCTAGAAGATTGGTAATCTGACAAATTAGCCATCGATAGACACATAGACGTTAACAATATCTATAGACTACGCCGGGTGTCTGCAACCTGCGGCTTTGGAGCCGCATGTGGCTCTTTGGGCCCTCTGCTGTGGCTCCCTATTGGATGATCACACCACTGGCTGGCCCCACCCCTCGCCCTCCCCTTTCAGTCACTCCTCGCCTGGCCTGAGAAGGTAGGGGCGACGGCGGGGGATGGAGAAGCGTCCGGAGCAGAGACAGAGAGATACAGAGAGAGGGAGAGAGAGAGAGAGACATAGAGAGATACAGAGAGGGGAGGGGAGAGAGAGAGATACAGAGAGGGAGGGAGAGAGAGACACATAGAGAGATACAGAGAGAGGGGGAGAGAGAGAGACAGAGAGATACAGAGAGAGGGAGAGAGGGAGAGAGAGAGAGAGACATAGAGAGATACAGAGAGGGGAGGGGAGAGAGAGACAGAGAGATACAGAGAGGGAGGGAGAGAGAGAGAGAGAGACATAGAGAGATACAGAGAGGGGGAGACAGAGAGACAGAGAGAGATACAGAGAGAGAGGGAGAGGGAGAGGGAGAGAGACATAGAGAAATACAGAGAGGGGGGAGAGAGAGACATAGAGAGATACAGAGAGAGGGGGAGAGAGAGAGACAGAGAGATACAGAGAGAGGGAGAGAGAGAGAGAGACATAGAGAGATACAGAGAAG